TTTCAGTTAAAGACAGACAAAACTCATTCTCATTTACAAAGGCCTCCAAAACAAAAAACTAGAATGCTGTATGTGAACTATAGGATGGCCCCATGAAAAACAGCTACATCTTGCTGTTTGGAATGTGTACCCAGTATTAATGGCAGATAAAATGTAGGAGGATCAAACCTTAAGCATATTCCCCTTCAAACACCTTAACCCAACTAGTAACTGTCAAGGAGATAAATATCTAAGCTGTTTAGGATACTCTCTATTTCTTGAATTTAACATCCTATGTTTACTTAGCAAGTTTTCAGCTGTGTATTAAGCATCCTTTGATCCTTAATAACACCAGTGCGTTCTGATTCTAATCAGAGGATTCTTCCATATGGCAAAGCATTCAGAGCCGATTGTGAATTATTTTACAGCCGGAATACATGCTTAACCTGGCCAAAGTGCCTTGGGTAGAAGGGAAACTGCAGAACAGATTTAGAAGCATGATGGGAAAAATTAGGCATAAGAAACACAATAAACCTCACAGTGTCTTTTTTCCAGGATAGCAAAGAAACCACATTTTTTCCTAAGAATACTATAAAGTACTGGTCAAAAGCAGACTTGCATTCATTTGCAGTTGGATTACTGCAACGTGCTCTACAGGGAACTGCCCTTGATGACAACGCAGAAACTACAACTGGTCCAGAATGCAGCAGCCTGACTATTGTCAGGTGCCAGCCGCTGGGAACATGTTGCCCACTTCGAAACAGCTACATTGTCTGCCAGTCTGGTTCCAAGTTCAATTCAAAGTCCTGGTTGTAACTTTTAAAGTTCTACACAATCTGGGACCCGCATACTGGAAGGACTGCCTCCATCCATACACCCCTCTGTGCCAACTATGATAGTCAGGCAGCCATCTGTTGGCATCCACCCCAGCCCAGGCCTTTTCTGTTGTGAGGGCAGGAATGAGATCCATGGTTTGCTATTTGGAATATTAACAGGAATGGCACAAAACGGCTCGTGTACAATGTGCACTACTTACAGCAGGTTGTTCAGTTGCACAGTCGAGTCCGACTCTTCGCGACCCCATGGACCAGCTCCCGCCAGGCCCTCCTGTCTTCCGCTGTCCTCAGCAGGAGAGAGTTGCAATCAGCACGTCCTTATGAAAGCACCATCGCCAGGGTGGATTTGAACCATGGCCCAGTATACAGTAGCCAGTCAGACTTGTGACCGAGTCAGCCATAGAACATCAGCTGCTTTACACAGTCAGAAAAAGTGATATTCCCATCATGTTTTTGTTTCCTCTGGCTGGAAGAAAGTCCTCCTAAGTTCAGGCAGATGCCTTTTCCAAGCCTACTTACAGAGATTTATAACAATCGCACCAGGGCCTTTTTGTTTGTTGCAAGCAATGTGTATGTTTTACCACTAAGCTGTAATGCATCCAACTTCAGTCCAAGTAGACCAGGTTGCCTTGCCTATGGAAACTAAGGGTGTACTTCAGTCCTGGCTGGAGACAGACACCCATTCTTTACATATTCTGCTTATCACATTTCATAGTAGTGACCACCCATTTCTGTAACACATAGGGGTTCCACCCCAATCTGCTGCCTCACTGTTTACTGAGCGATTTGTTTACCCTGTTCACTCTTCACCCACCTTGAATTTTTATAACCTCCTATCACACAGTAATATTTCTCTAAAGTAACCTTTTACCCTCAGCCATTCTGCCGTTATTCCCCCACCCCAAGGTTCCTTTTTTAAGCTATCATGACCAAAATTTTCGAAACATGGGCAAGTATATACAGTGTATTCAACGTTGTATTTCCAAGTACAAAAGTAGCTGCTAGGAGTTCACACTGCCCCACAGCAAAAATCTATGCTGATTCTTGATTACACTGAGAAGCGGATCACAAGACGACGGCAGCTGCGTCCAAATACTGGGTGCTTCTTTTAAGTTCAGCTCTGGAAATACTACAAGGTTACATCCACGGGGAGGCTGCTAAACAAGTAGCAGTAAAAAGCATTCAGGGGTGAATCTGGATCAGTTCACACCGAGTTCTGATACTTTATGGAAATCTCCAGTGGAGGCTTGCAATTCAACACCTTTCAGCAACTGTAACTGAAGTTTAGAGGAGTCACTTAAAGTTCAAATTAGATCTTTGCTGCTTTCAAGGAGCATCCAGCTTTAATGCACCGAACAAAACCCCTTTTCATAAATCCAATTACAAAGATACACAAGCGCTCAATTAAAAGTAGCCAATTTTATTCAAATTATGTGCTGCAAAGTTCACATAATTACCACCCTCTTCAAAACAGTACATAATTAAAGTATGTCCTTATCGAATGGAAATTTGTCTTTCTTCGCCAGAAGTGTTTCAGTAAAAGCCAGAGTCTTGAGTAGCCCAGTTAGGTGCCTTTAAAAAGAAAAAAAGCAAATTTGAAGATTAGGACACAAGAGAGGTGTGTTTCCAACTAATCAACACAGCAGATTCAATTTTACAGCTATGCTAGACAGTGCTGGGCACTCTACTCTGCTGTTGGCAAACTGAGTGAGGGTGTGCAGGGTGTTTCTGAATCTTTCTTCAAAGCAATTAACATTACAGTCCTAAGGCTGGTTTGTGGAAGTCTTAGGAAAGCAACTAAACCTAATGCTGGTGCCATCTGGAGATAGGCTGACACAGAACCAGAACCTAACTCGTGTTACCTGGATGCAAACTGGGTGCCAGCATGGCTGCCCCAGTTAAAAGGCTAGAAACAGGCTATGTTGGGAAAGGGAGGGGCTTAGTTCGTATCCAGAGCCCCAAAGCCCACACCCTACCCTCAGCACAAGCCTACGAAAACATCCCCCCCCCCGTAATCAAAAAACAAATCTCCCTCACCTTCCTCCACCCACGCCTACACAGTTTAAAATGTTAACTAAGTCTGGAGCCAATCGCAGTTCTTCTGAGCACTATAAAAACGCGAGCCAGGACACCTTGGAACTCAGCACAAAGCTGCATCTGGCCTCTTGCTGAGCATCCCTTGACCATACATGTAGGGTGGAATTCTAGAGGAAGAGCCTTTTGCACAAGCCACCAAGGTGAGAACGTATTGACAAGGCTGCTTTCCCCAGAACCCTGACAAGTACCCCACTCGGAACACACATACTGAGTTTGAAGCTCTGCTCCTCTAAACTGGGGACACAGGAAGGCAAGTGAGGGGGGATGAGCTATGCCTTGGGAACCAACAGATGTAAGACTCAGATACATCTTTGAGAGGGACACAGTTCCTTCCATTCTAGCGAAATGCCCACGTGACTGCCCAGGCCGCTTGGTGCTTACCTCAGACCTACCGCCCTGGTTCAGTTTTTTCTCAATATTCATAGCCAGCATCTGACTCCGGAAAGACAAGCTTTTGGTCTTCTCAATCACTTGCTGATAAGGTGACACAGCATTGTTTCCCATCACTACGTGACCCTAGACGTTCGAGAGAAGGCATCAAAAGTGGGTTCAGGCACACTTGCACACTTGGGTAATGCCACAGTGAACACCCCATATTCTCCTTTTATGCTCGTTAGTAAAGGTAAAGGTTCCCTTGCTCAAAAGCCAATCGAGTCCGACTCTAGGGTTGCGGTGCTACTTGAGCCACCGCAGCTCCATTATTATGCTCGTTACCACCTGATAAGAGAGACACAGAATCCACTGGCTGTGAGGAATGGCCTGTGACCTGCCTTATAGCTGTACTACAGGCCAGCCGTGCTGCTGGTGCTTCCTTCAGTTATCTCCCAAATGTCATCTCCCAAACTCTGTCCTTACTGAAAGTGCCCACAACACAACTGGGTCTTCTAGCTTGTATCTGTACGTTCTCCCAAACTGTACTGCAAGTTGCTCCCAACCCACGTGATGATGGGCGATGCACACAATGGATGCATACAGGCGCAGTTTCCAAATGCACAGCTCTCGTGCCAACCTGCTCCTTACCGTTTATGGATTGCAGAAATGCTGATGGTGAACATGCTGCATGGACTTTTCAATCACACCCCTGATCTTCCCGCTGTGCCAAGCGAGGCCTACTTGCCACCTTGTACAACGTCTGCTACAGCAGCACCTTTTCTTCCCCAAACTGGACTGCCAGCCTGGGTGAACAGCATCCATGGGATGGACAGCAACACTTCTGCCTTCTAGCCATGAGGGCTGTCTCAGCCCATGCTGGTGGCAGCGTATGAGCAACTCTGTGCGGTGGCCTCCAAACTCTGTTCCCTTGCTGCTTACTGCATGGGCTTAATAACTCTGGCATTGTGTGCTGACTGCCTGTCATTCAAAATCAGAAATTTCAAAGCTGCCACAGTTCATCAGTCACCATTCCGGGGGGTGGGTGGGCGTCAGTCATCAACAATGGCACATACAGCTAAAACCAAAAAGCTGAGGAGGATGAAGTAATAGGCTAGAGGCTGGAACACACTGTAAACATGAACACGTGAAGCTGCCTGATACCAAGTCAGGCCACTGATCTGTCAAAGGCAGAAGAATCTGTTTTGACTGGCTGCAGTTTTCCAGGGTGGAGGTCTTTCATATATCACCTACTTCAGTTGAAAAGGACTGGTGCCAAGCCTGGACCTGGGGCCTTCTGCCCACAAAGGAGATGCTCTGCTACAGAGCCATAGCCCCTCCCAGACAAGCTGCAATTCACTGACTCAGAGCTGGTGTGGCACAGCAGTTAGGAGTTCTGACTCATATACCGAGTCCCTGGTTAAATTCTTGCATGGGCCATCGATATAGTTTTGTGGTCTTAGGCAAGCCACTGTATCACAGCCTCAGCAGGCCCACCTGTAACACTAACACAGCACACCACTGGAGATACAAGGATAACACTCTGCAAAACATTATTATAAATTGGTTGAGTTTTGCCAGAAGCCCTCTGCCCTGTACAGATCTTGGTGTGGTGCACGCTCTCCTTATTAAAAAGAAAAGCTTGTGTTCTTAGCACCAAAAGCCAGCAGCTGCAGCACTCTGGAGAAAAAACACAGCCACAGCACTTTTAGACTTTTCGCAGCTTGTACCAGCTGAGGTCCAAGCCGGCCCTTGCGCCAGCAAAAGGCATTTCCACTCTCACAGGGGGAGGTCTCCGATTTCCGCTACATACCACACCCTTCCCAAGACGCTCTTAATCTTCAGGAGCAGTGGCAGGGGGGATGCGAAGGCGGGTGCAGGGAAGTGGAGATCCACTATGGGAGTGGAAACCCACTCCACAGTTTTTAAAAGCCAACCCAATGATTTTGAAGAATGTTCTGACACAGATAATTTTACAAAAAGGGGGGGGGGAGCTTACCAGTTTTGAATCTATCTTGGCATCCAGCCTTGCATTCCGAATTAAATTCACAATCCATCGCTCAGCTTCTTCTGGAGTCATGTTTAGCTTATCTGCCAACATACTTTGGGGGGGAGGGGGGAGAAGAGAACATGTTTTTAATAAAATCTGTGCTCTTGCCTCAACCTTTGTTTGGCATCTATACCGGCCAAAGTAGGAATAATTAGATAATATGCTAAGTAACTGAATACAGGCAACTCTAACTTTGCTGCCAGTTTTATGAAGAGGTCTTGTGCGGGATCTCACAGATCCTTCCCATTAACAGAGGCGCCTTCCTCTGGCGGAAGAAGCCTTTGCCCCGTCCAAGATTCTCTACTGACATCGTCCTTTGGGGGGGAAGGCCCTTTCCGCTGCAGTAAAGCGCCTCTGATAATGAAACAGATCCACGGGATCCAGCCCCCTTATTGCAATCCAGCTCTGCATAACGCTGTATTTTTAAACTATTTAAAAAGGAAGTGCCCATGGCCAGCCTTGTTCTATTAACAGTCGGAAGCCACCAAGAAGGCTTCCTTGGAAAGCAAAGCTGCTCTGCACTTATCTTTCACACAACAGCCAGTGATGCCTGAAGACTCTCTTATCAGAGAGAGTCTGTAAATCAAGCACTTCAGTGATGCTTAACACATAAAACAGCTAGTTATATTCTAGACTGAAACCAGTGTGGCAAGGACCAAACAGACCTTTAAATCAAGTGCCAGTTTGTGTATAATTAATATTCCACGTGGACATATGTCTTAATGGTGAGCTATTACTGTTTGTAATTGTGGTCTGCAAAATTTCTCTAGAAGTTTTAAGATCTACTGCAGACTCATCTGCTTAGTTCCATTTACACACTGAAGCCGAAAAACAAAATCGATGAAGAAGCAATCACAGGGGGAAGAAAGCTGATGTTATCGCTTTGACTCATCCAAGATACTTTATGGCTCATCTTGATTCACTTTAAGAACCTCTAATAGCCCAACACATTAGAAATCGGAACTCGCAGTACCTAATAATTTTGTGTGCATTATTTAAAACCAAATCAGATGTTTCAATAGATAAAATTTATTTTATGAGAGGACTGGTTGAGAGCAATGAATTCTAAGAGGATCATATATTCCAGAAACCAGGAGGATTCAAATTTGGTTAGCTAACTATGTAATTTCACCACAACATTAAACAGATACACACACTACAAAAGGACCATCTGAGCTAGTTTTCATTTGCTGAACATCTGTCTAGCTTTTGATAAAGCCATCTTTTGAGAGAAGTGTTTCACTCAACTGGCCATAAAGCACCAGGCAGACAGCACTGTCCTTTGATGTCCTATGTCAGACCACTTGTTCCCAAGACTGAGTGTGACGCAGAAGATTTGTGACAATTGGATCTTTTCAGGGATTGTGTCCAGACATCCCAATTTCTTCTCCTCTACAGATCAAGGCAAGAGTCAAGAGCTGCTGTTCTGTCAACAGGCGCTCAGCCAATGGTTTTTCCTGTGGTTTTCTAATGAGTTCTCAGCATTCTCCAGTGATGCTTCACTCATTTCAGATTCAAGAACTCTCAACTTCCAGACTTTTGCTAATGCTTCGCATTCTCTCCTGAAATCCAGCCAAGAGAAAACACTGTACTCTATTTTAAGCCATTCTCCACTGCAATCTCTGCTCTCGTTCTACCACAGCTTAGCCTGTAACTCTCCAGGTGCCTCTGTTAAGATAACGTACAACTTACTAAATATGCAGGCTTAATTATAATTATAAACTGAAGTAGAACTTCAGTAACAAGGAAGCTATAATTATAAACTGAAGTAGAACTTCAGTTCATAGTAACGAGGAAGTTGGCACAGACAGACATGCTACATGCAACATTAAAGCAGTCTTCACTGATTTTCTGTTTAGCCAGCAAGAACAAATCTGATTATTATCCCATCAATTTTATCAGGCACATCTCTCATGCCTTAAGGCACCCATCTTTGAAGACGAGAGATTTCAAGTTTATTTGGGGCTGTGGATATCTCATTAGAACTGGCACTCAATGTGTCCCGTTGTGAGAGAGGTATTGTGCCACAGTTGAAAACAAGTGTGTGGGCGTTTCCTGCAAAGGCTAGAATGCAGCTGGGTTACAATAACCAATCAAGAAGAAAGGCCCATTTGTCAAATGGCCTTTCCTCCATGAGACTGCTGTGATTCATTCATGTTCCTTCCCCAGAATAGCAACATTCAGACACTGAAGTAACAGCGTCAGATAATACTATTCTGAAAACAATGATCTAATCTAACAGGAACTAATTGACTTCCAGATTGACTGTAACAGACCAGCATGTGCTAGCAACCTTTGAAGGAGAGAGAAGATCTGGAACTAGAGTTCTCCCGTGCCAGGGCCTTCTCTGCCTTGAAACGGATTTCAGAAAGTGTGGCTTCCAATTGTTCTATCAGGTTTACAAACCTCTGAAGTATTCAAAGGCATTACACAGAGACAAAACGCTTCATCTCTGTGTTGACAGCACACACACACACACACTGGCCCAGTCAAGAGGAGCAAGTGTTTTAAAGGAGCTCGGTCTGACAGATCTCTTTTTGCAACATTAAGTAAGACGGCATCCCCAGGGATGCAATTCATATTATATAAACAGCTTTAAATATTTATTTACAAAGGTGTAGATGCCATTTCTGCAGAGACTGCTCAAGCAGCACACATGTAAAAAAGTATGATAAAGCCATACGGCCACAGCATAAAAAACAATCCACAGCATGGAAGCAACAGAAAATAGCAGTCAACAGCTTAAAATGAGAGCCATAAAGCAGTCCACAGGCTAGAAGGTGACCACAGGAATGCTTAAAAAAAAAATAGAAATCCTCAGTTAAAATCTTGGGTGAAACGAAGGCTCAGCTTGGGACCAAGAGAGCACAGAAGGCATCAGAGGCAAGCCTCAAAAGTTCCTGATTCTAATTCATCCACAGATCTAAAAACAACAACAACTATTGATTCAGTATTTTAAGGCTTGCTCTCACATTAACTGTTCACATGTATCTGGGAGTATGTAAACAAGCATCTGAAGGACTGCCTCCTCTCATATTATCCAGCCCTCCTCTTAAGACCTGCCTCCCAAGCCCTGCTCCCTGAGCCTCCCCCACCTTCAGAGATAAGGCCGGTGGCAACCAGGGGCGGGGCTTTTCCAGTAGTGCCACCTGGCTTGTGGAAGGCCATTCCCCTTCAGGCTCACCTGGCACCTATGGCCTTCTCTTTTAGGTGCCATACCAAAATGCTTCTCTCCACCCAAGCTTTTAATTAAGGATCTGATTTTTAATGCGATTTTAGCCTGGAAACTGTTGATTTTATGCTGGGCTGAAGCTATTTTATACTGGATTTTAATTAATATCTTTTCATGTTTTGTTTTTATTCTTATTTTGTAAGCTGCCTTAAGCACGTCCCTGGAGACATGGGATTAAAACTTGTTCTAAACAAATCAATATGATGCTAAATAAACCAGGATCACGTTGCTCGAAGCTAAAACCAAATTTTCACTTCTGTAGTTTCAATTCCATGTAGAAATGGCTTCAAAAATTTTGACTGAATTATGACACTGTGTACCAATCCTCTGAATACAGTTCAAACTCAAAAAAGTTTGAACTCAAATAATTTCTAAAGATAATAATAGAATCTATAACACCTCTGCTATTGTTTCCATGAGCCTAACATCCCTACTCTTCTGGGTGTTAACAACTTCTGGACAAATATTGTAGCTTAGCTATCCAACTAACTGAGTACAGTTGAACATGCTGCAACCAGCAAGAAAAATGAAAAGCTGATCTCTTCAATGCCAGGGGCCTAACTAATTCAGGGTAAGCAAAACACCACAATTTAGCACAAGGGGTTGCAACCAGTCAGCTTTCCCACTCAAATTCACCCAGTCCCCATCCTACATGGCTTTTTTCTCATAACCCCCAGCATAGCCTTTGGGAGTGTCAAAGGGGACCTCTTTCTCCCCTTTTCATCAGCAGAAAGGCCAGCTGGATCCAAACCAAGGGCGAAGGATGTAGTGACTTTTATTGGCTTTGGCTGGTATGCCTGCTTCATCCGTTCTTGGAAAGTATGATCTGGCCGCTGTGATCAATGTTCTGATCACATCCAAGTTAGACTACTGTAATGCATTCTTAATGGGGCTGCCTTTGAATATGGCCTGGAAACTTCAATTTGTCCAAAATGCTGCAGCCAGGCTATTGCCAAGGGTCGGTTACAGGGATGCTACCATGCCCGTGCTGAGAGATCTGTATCAGTTACCTGTCTGTTTCCAGGTACAAGTCAAAGTCCTGGTTCTTACCTTTAAGGGCCTGAACAACTTGGGGCAGGGTACCTGAAGGACTTTCGCCAACTGTATTATCCAGCCAAATAGGTAAGATCTGCCTTTTAAGCCCTATCCTCTGTGCCCCTGCCTTCAGAGGTGGGTGAGAGACAGAGCATTTTTTGTGGTGGCACCTTGCCTTTGGACAGCCTGGCACCTACTTTACTGTCTCCAGGCCAATCCACATCTTTTTACACAGGCTTTTAATTAGGGGGTTTATCTCACCACCTTTTTAATGGTCAGCATCTGGTCTGAAGTCTGTTTTACACTGTTTCTGTCCAATGGCTTCTTTTTAAATGACTTGTTGTCTTGCATTATTATATTATTTTACTGGAAGCTGCCTTGAGCAGCATTCAGAAGCAGTAGCATAGAAATATTCTAAATAAATAAATAGGGCTTCAAATTAAATGTTTTAAAATTTTCTCTGCTACTGTCTAGAACTTGCTCTAATACAGAATTACTGTACAATTTTATTTGGGTGAACTAAAGTGTTTTATTGATATTTAAAATCCCAACACTTCAGCTTTTGTTTAATACAAAACCAAGTATGACCATTACAACTTCACAGTAGAAAATCTGAGAAAAAATTGACAACGTAGTAAACGTTTGCTGAAAACCATGCAGACTGGTAGCAAAACATGTATTAAATATACAGTCTGTCACAGAGCATGTGTAAAATGGTTGATGTTTTGATCCTTAAAGATAAAGAGCAAATTCAGATACAAAAAATAGTTATTCTGGCTCCATCTCTAGCACTGGAGCAGGGAAAAGATTTCATAATAATCTATAAGATATGATGTTGGCACACAGTGATGAAGTAGCTTTCCTCCACAGAGAAGCAACATGAACATATTTTCTGACAAATTCTTCACATACCTCATTTGTCTACTACTAGGAGCTCTTCCAATTTTCATACCTCTTTCCAATTCTCACTCAGTTCACAAACTCAAACTATGTTTCAGGGGTGCGGCTAACAATTTACTGAATCAAATTATGCCCCAAACCACAACAGCCGCTTCCACCCCACAGAAATTTCACTCTACAACCTTCGGAGAGGATCAGACCTGCAGTGCTACCCAACGTGGAACAGTGGGCTCCATCTTAACACTTGTGCCTTGACAGATAGTAAAAGAGCATCAGCACAGGAGCCTCACATACGCTCCAGCATTACCTACCTCACAACATGGCCTTCCCTTATTTCTGTGGGGCAGCTATACGTCTAAAGGCTGTCTTGCACTGAAACTTCCCTACCCACCCAAAGTTAACATGTCAGACGCTTGACCTACAACATTTTTCTCCCTCAATGCGCTACCCTAACACATGCATCAAGAATTTAATGTAAAAGAACGTTCACAATACCCAGGTGCACAGCCGAGGTAGTACAGTCCCACGAAGAAGGCTACTGTTTATTCAGAAAGATTATATGTTACCTCTGCATAGACCTGCTTGATGTGCCCTGAAATGTTCTAATTAGTTCTGAAGATGAAGGAAGACTGGAGCAACAGCAGAACTGGCACTCAAGTACCCCTCTCCAAAGCAAACTAGAAGAACACTATCAAGGAATATCTTATACAGAAATGATTTTATACCTGCTTCAATCAGAATTCTTCTAATTAAAGATTTAGATCATCTTAACATTTACTGAGCTTTACCACTGCTTTCGCACGTGCACACACATGAGTTGTAGTTAATTTCCCATTTTTGTATGCTAATTCCTTTTGTTTCTTACTCAAGTAGAATCGAAGCAGCTTGACCACATCGCCTTTTAATGCAGTCACATGTATACTTTTGCCATCAAATATCAGTTCTATTACTGGTAGAGCTTTTCTTACTTGATGCTGATGCACTGGTGGATGCGGCAGAAGGTTTCAAATATAAAGAGGCGGGCATTTTCAATGAAGTCTTCTAGACAAGCCACTAAGAAAAAGTCATTCACAAGAACCTAAGAGATGGCAGGGAGGACAAGGGAGAGAAGGAAACTTGGTAAGGCTATAGTACTAGCTAACAATTGTGAAGCTTATATGCTGTAGACAGAGATCCATGGTTCCTGTTATTACTGGAAGTGCCCTCTTTCTCAAATTCAACCCTGGAGGAGCCACAGAACACTTTCCATCCCATGTTAACAATTTGGCTGTGCTGGATTGGCTGAACCATGTTTGGAGAAAATATTATGCAACAGGTTCTGACTGGTGTTAAAATGTCTAATTTTCAGGTGTTTTTAACAATGATAATGGTTTTGACTAGGTTTTCAAATTCCAGCTGTCTGGATGGACTAGAAGTATCTTAAGCGTACATGTCTCTTGCCCCTCCATTTCTTTTAAGTGTCTAACATATTTTCACTTTCAGCTTCTATTAATACTCTTTTTTGAGTCTGCATGTGTACCAAATTTCAGGTTTCCAGCTGGAACAGGAGCAAGTCTAAGCACTTGGGGGTAACACTTTGGAGTTGCCAATTTTGAGATGAACAAGTGTCTCATTCTCAGATTTTTCTAGCAATCAGGATGTGTTCTACCAAGAGCCAGTGACTCCATTCATTAAGAAGCACCCAAACAGTTGTAATACTCCCGCCCCCTCAGTATAGTAATGAAAGGTATGCAATATATTTTGAGACCAAAAAAACTTAGGGGAAACAACAAATTAAAAATATACTGCACATTTGGAAGATTAGTCTAATGACTATTTTTCTTTTCTGAACAGGAAATTTTATTAGTATAACAACTGAAGAAGAAGAGATTGGATTTATACCCCACCCTTCACTCGGAGTCTCAGAGCAGCTTACAATTTCCTTTCCTTCCCTTCCCCTCAACAAACACCCTGTGAGATAGGTGGGGCCGAGCTCCTTCGAGGACTGCTCTTGAAAGAACAGCTCTGAAAGAGCTGTGACTGACCCAAGGCCACCCAGCAGCTGCATGTGCAGGAGTGGGTAATCAAACCCAGTTTTCCCAGATTAGAGTCTGCACTCTTAACCACTACACCAAACTGAAGTTCTTCTCAATGAAAGCTGCATCAGCCCACAATCCCAATGGCGTGTTCCTTCCACAACTTCTATTTCAGGCACTTCAAGTAATCCTATAGCGATGCCTCAGTTTACAGTAAATAAGGGGTGGATCCTATGTTAGGAGGATGATTCATAGGATCCAACCTAGTATCATGATCATGGTCAATGCTCCCTCTAAGCTGTGGAGTCTTGTGAGCAAAAATTCTACTTTGTGAGCTACTGGCATTAAAGTTGTGAGCGAGCGATTTGGCTACTGCATAAATTACTTTGCTCTGGAGCCATCCTTCCTGAGCTAAGACCAAAGTGTGTGAGCTGGAGGCTTAAAAAACTGTGAGCTAGCTCACACTAACTCAGCTTAGAGGGAACACTGATCATGATAGCCATTTGCATACATCTAATTGCCTAAGATTGTGTTTGCCAAGGAATTCTTACTGATTCACATTCTCTTAGCTTCTTCTGCGCTCCATCGAAGTCAAAGTTCACATATAAACATTCCACGAACTCAGTTATTGGGTCCTTGTAGGTATAGGATTCCTGCACAGATAAGAGTAGGATTTTGTGTTATTTAGCTGATCTGTGTGCTACCTTTCTACCCTGTAAAAGTCCCCAAGGAAGCTCATAATAAAATACGTCATACAAAACATACCAGGAACTGCCACCATAGGGGCAACAATCAATTGTCAGCTTCATTCAAAGGCTTTCCAGAATAAGAATTTTAAAAGGTTTCTTTAGCATCTTCCAGAAGACCTCTAGTAATGCCAATCTTATCCTCCTGGGTAAAAAGGACTCACTACTGGGGGGATGACAGCTGAAAGGTCCTCCTGTGAGTGGAATGTCAGACTAGCAGTTCCTCCAGGGAGACCTTACCTTGGAAAACCAGGAAGGGTAATATGGATCAAGGCGAATCCTTGAATACTTTGGGCCCAAACCCACTTAAGAGTTTAAAAGGTCAAAACCATCCTAAATTGCACCCAAAACAAAGTGGGAGCCAATGTTGTTAGAAGAGCTCTGGCTTCAATCCAGTGAAGATTTCTAGAAATGGAAGGAGGGGGATGATTTTTGCCAAACTCCCACCCATACTTTTCCTGGGGGGACTCCAATCCAGTGAAGATTTCTAGAAATGGAACGAGGGGGATGATTTTTGCCAAAAAAAAAACCCCATACTTTCCCTGGGGGGACTCCTGTTCCCCAGAAGCAGCATTTTGGAGGTTGTTTTGGACTCCAGTAAGAAGGAATATCTCAGCAGAGATTTTTGGCAGGATCCAACCGACTGGCTTTATGTATTTGTTAGATAAGGTTTAGGCTGGGTCTCGGGTGCTGCGTTTTGTACCAAGCTGAAGTTTCTGGATCATCTTCAAGAGAAACTGCACATGCAACACATTCCGATAACCTAGTTTGGATGTTCTCAAAGCATAATCCCCAGTGGTGTGGTCTATTATCTCCGGGAACAGCAGCAGTGAGCAAGTCATTCCCATCAGCCTCCAGCAGCTGCCTACCTAGACAGAGAGGTGTCCAGGAGTCCTTCGAAACTGTGAACCTAACCTTTTCAGTACAAGCAATAATTCTAAATGTAGTTTGTTAGAATCCTTTTAGCAACAGCAATTCAGTTTTAAACAGCTCTAAAGATGCAACCAAATTTCATTTTAGACTTAAGTACACTGGCACCTTTGGCGTGTGTTAAACAGTGTGAACCAACAATATTGCCTGTCATAGGAAGACGACTCATGTGTGTGTCTGTGTGTGTAAAAAGAACAAGGGTGTCAGTTCGGGCATGACCTCAGGGTGATTCTGAGCAGGCACAGCAGTAGAAAGGAGTGGAGCCCTTCCACCATCCTCTTAGTTGGTCAAGTGACTTGTTGGGGGCTACAAATCAAAAGGTAACATCCTTCCTGTAGCCTTTTGTCTCCATGATGCAAGGGAACAGATAGTCCAGGCCTACTAGGTCCATCTCACATAGTTTGTGTAGTGTGTGTGTGTGCGCGCAAGAATTACAGATCCATACCACCGCTACTCCAGTCTTTCCTACCTCATCTGAGTCAACTGGGATGGCGGTATCCATTTGGCAGAAAGTCACACCTCTAGGCCCACTGTACCAAAGCCCCAAGCCACCAGCAATGGACGCGCATATGGATTATCTTTTTCCTTTTCAACTCCCAATCCCTAGAACACCTATTGTGCTACAGTATCAAATAGGCCAGAGCAGTGAACCGCCTTTTTATGTCTGACCATGTCATCAAAATTTCCTTGCCCAAGTTTCAGAAAAAATCCACATGCTCCCAAAAAGTACACCTGTATTTCATTCTCTAGTTTGTCAATGTTCTTATAGTGCGGAAGATAGCAGTAGTCTTCCTAAGATCCCAGGCTGGCCACAAGGATACGAAATGTGTGGGGTTTTTTTTATAAACGGAAACCTATTTCCTACCTGCTGAATAACCTTGACCAAGTCTTTCAACACTTGTCTACGCTTCCGAACATCTTTGTTCGTTATCACTGCTGTAGTCAGATACCGAAGAATATGTGGGCACATTGTTTGAATTGCATTAAGATACCTGGGGGAAAAAATAGATTATTTTAGAGCTGGAAGTAAATTAGATTTCAGAACAGCCCAGGCCCCTCTTCTAGCAGAGGAATATAGGAGTGAGAAAAGACTTTGCTTACTGGATACCCACCCAACACTATCTGGAGGCTCTATACATAAAAGAAGTGGAATGGTGCTGAAGTCTGACAGGATCCCATGCTTGAACTCCAAGCCCTGCTCATTCCCATAAAGCAGGGTCCCAACCCTTTTTGAACCTGCAGGCACCTCTGAAATTCTGAAGCAGGAGAGAAGATGGCACTACAAAATGGTTGACACAAGAGGTGGGGGCCAAGCATCCCCTCCATTGCTCTGATGTTTCTCTGCCCCCATCGCAGGTCTCATTTACAGAATCCTGGACCCTTCTCAAGGGATCAATGGTGAGGGTACAGGTAAAAAGCCTCTTTATTTGTATTACGGCAGCCGGTCACTGGCCCTGTATTCACAAAGGCCCTGCCTACTTTTCTAAAACACATGGTGGGCACCTGGAGAATTGCCTGAGGGCACCATGGCACCTGCCACGTTGGGGAACTCTGCTACAGATAGTTACTTGCAGGTTCCTAACTCGGCCAAGCCCCAGCTGAGTAAGGACCGTCGTACTCTATACCAGTGGAGGTACAGAGTATGCATTCAAAATTGTTATGCCAAAAATCCATTTCCTTTCAAATCAAGAGTTATAGATGGGGAAAATGGGAGCAAGCAAAAGTAAAGCACTTGCTATCATAGTAAGAATTTAATTTAAACTACTTGGGAAAAGTGTGGGGGGGGGGCCTCTTTAGAACAAACTATTTACACATACTTTTTGCCTGTACACCGTAGCTACAACAGATGACTCATATGTCCTTGAAACACAGCAGAAGATGGCAATGGATTACCACATTACCTCATGCAACACTGACATCACCCCCTAATTTCACTTGAAATAGATAGCCTGCACTTCTAAAAAATCTTTGATAAATTTTAAATGTAATACAATGCCAGTGACAGCATACAAAGATGAAGTTATCTATGAAATACTGCCTCTTCCAAATTTACGATAATTACAACAAATGGAAATATATAATTCCTTCGGTATTTGCAGTCTCATAGCATTGCATGATGTATTACAATCCCAGTGAAAGATTAACCTTTAAATCAGCCCTGACAGGCTAATGGGGAAAAGATGCTGCTCAGCAAGGCTGCCAGTGGCACTCAAAGGCTACTCTGATGCCCAGGTTCCTGCAGACCCTCACCCTGGTAAGCTACTGTAGCTTTCCAAGGAGTCCTGCTGACAATATCCTCAAGTGTAGAAGACTGGACTTTGATCTGTTTCTCAGGCATTTCTTTGGGAGGGGGGGTTGGTTGGCTTTTAGGCACAAGACAACTTACTGGGGCTGATAGAGAAAGAGGTCGATGATGTTGTCTCTGCCTTTAGGATGGTTGAAGAAAACAAAAAGAGACCAGTGGATGAGCCACGTTCTCTGCTGAAGAGACTGCAGTGGAGAGCTGACCGACTGAAAAACAAAAGACATTTATTTTACAGAACTCCATGGCACACATTCACTCTATTTTCAAATGCATTTTCAGTTTTTGCCTTCAAGAGCACTCAGTGCTTTAAAACAAGAAAATCAACTTTGATTCAGCCAACATGACTAGGCTTTTTCTGTAATTTGCCACTCACTTATGGCAAATTGCAGTCACCGCCTCTGGCCAGCAGCTAAACAGAACGCCTATTCCAATGCCAGAATTGGAGAAAGATGCACTTCCATACCTGGTATGCCCAACAGTAGATTTCTTAAATGCAGTACTGGGGGTGGGGACAGAAGACAAAACCACTTTTCTGACTGCTGCAGCCAAACCTCGCCACAGAGGTTTTCAACGTGGTCCACCCAAATCCAGCAGCTTCTTAGCCTCTCCAAGACACTCTTGTCCTTGCCTCTCTTGAAATAACCATGTGCTTCTGATAGCATAAAGAAACCCTCCTCCCCATCCTTTTGGAAAGGTATTAAATGCAACCAACTGGTACAAGCTCTTTTGGTTTCATATGGGCCTTTCAGAAGCTCTGGAACTCTCTCTCCAGGAAGATCTGTCTGTCCCCTTTCGTTGCCGTCTTCCACCAGTGGGTGAAGATTTTATTTCACCTGGCATCCCCATCAATGATCCCACCTTTCCTAATCAATGTTTTACGTTTTATATGTATTTTAACTATGTTTGTAAACACTTTTAAAAGTTGTTTTAATGAGGTATTGTTTGAGAGGGGCGTTATTTTAATGGTTTAATGTAATTTTATCATGTATGGTTTACATTGTTAGCTGCCTTGGTAGCCCTTCTAAGGGCAGAAAGGCAAGATATGCATTTTGTAAATATAAACATTTCACCTTCTATTGAACTGAATTCATGAGGTCTGCAATCTTAGCTACCTCTCTCTTCTAGTGTCATCTGTTAGCTTCATTATATTTTTATATGTTTTTACTTATGGCTAGACTAATGATCTGGCCTCTGTTAGCCGCCCTGAGCTCACTGGGGAGGGCGGGATATAAGTGTGAAAAATAAATAAATAAATAAAGGGGGTAACTGGCTGCACGGTCTATTTTCTCATTACCATCAGCAGAGCTGAAATATTTTAAGAGCTATCAGAAGAGAAAAGAAACTCATCCTAGAATGTACACTTGCAACATCACTTTGTACCATTTGCAGTATCTAGCCATCCGCTGTGCCATTCCTGAAAGCCAGCCTCCCAACAATCTTCTCTCAACTACTAAAGGGCTGTAAACTCATGAGCCCATTCATCTTACTTTCCGGACTTGTCAGAACCTGCAGGTGTTGTCCAAAACGGAAGACTTCTGATCGGTAGTGTTGGTAAGTTCTTGAGTAAATGGGAGCGGGCACAAAATGTTCACACAGATTCACTGGCTGATCTTCCACATCCCCTTTCCTAGCCTTAGACACCACAGTGCGCTTAAGTCACTCACGTTATTGTCAATTGTCTCTTTCAGTCTTGTGAGGTCCTCCATGGCAGCATCCCAGTTCTGCATCAGAATCTCAGATGCCAGTTTTCCCCAGAGAGAACTCAAAGCGTTTCTATCCGTTGACGGAACCTGTTTTAAATAAGGGAATCCAATTACAAGAACCACAATAATTTAATATTTCACTAGGTCAAGAGTTTTGATTAGAGACTGGCTGGCACCAGTTGAGAGAGAATATGCCACCGACACGCCTGCTCCACAATTTGAGGAAAACGAGCTGTGTTTCATTTGGAAAATCAGTTTTGATTTTCTAGGAAACAAATCAGGAACAGTGGGCATTTCAAGGAGATTCGGTTGGAGATTTTAAAAAAACACCAAGAAAGCCTGGAGAACTGGCAGCCTCGGCTTCTGCACAGACCTTTCAATGCAAGCAATAAGGATCCCCCCCCCCCACCGCCCCAAACCCTGCAGTGAAGTCTGGAGCCCTCCGGGGTTTTCATGCACTAATTTAAAATGGTTTAAAGCTTAACTAGCAAAACCACCAAGTCTACTGAAAACTGCTGCAAATTAGGAGGACAATCCAGGAAGGGACACACACACACACACACACACACACACACACACACACAAGCAGCCAGCATTGCCTAGATTTTAAAAAGTCTGTTTAACTAAGATAGCTGCAGACATAATGACCCTTGTGTAATTTCAAACAAAGATATTTTATGCAGGAGACAGAAGCCTGTGCAACTGCAGTAAGTAAATTGTCATGCTATGGCCCTAAGCTCAGTATAGGGATCATTCAACAAATGTGGCAGAAGAAAAATAACTTGATTACTACATTAGACAAGACAGCGCAGAACCTGTCTTATGTTTTTCTCTCTAGTGTAGCTGATCAAGCTCATTCTGAGTAAGGGTAATTCTGGGGTCAGCCTGCCTTAGTTTAAACAGGACTGAACTACACTAGGTCATTCAGACAGCAAAAAAGCTCAGATCTATTACAATGGCTCTTTCATAGGTTGTGTTTCCCCAATGACCCCTTTAAAACAAATCTTTGCTCACGGAAGAAAAGCAGAGTTTCACAGCAAGCCTTTAACAGTGACATATTTAACCATTATTCTACAACTGGCACAATATATTTAATCATCCCTTTAAAGGCATAGTTCCAAACGCACTAATATATTTAAGCCACTGTTTAAGAAAAGAGAGAGACTGCCAGAAGCCATAAGAAAAATAAATTCAGTAATGGCTCCCTCTAACCTGAAACAGCATTTCTTCCACAAATTTTTGACATCTGAAACAGAAATGCACTTTGAATGCTAAGCTGGAGAAACTAACTGAATAATGTTCTTGATATAGTGATACTCTGAGCACCAATATTTTACTTGACTTTGGAACACAAAAAGTCCTGGTAACAGACACCAACTTGTCACTTGGGCCCCATTCCAAACAGGTTCATTTGGTGCTGCAAAGTAACCTGCTTTCAGTAATGGATTTGTTGAAGTTTCTGGATTTTCACCAGCAGCAGATTACCAAAAATAAGATGCCCCCTGAACACAGCAACTATGAATTCAGGGTGGGAGGAATGTAACACTATCTCTTCTCACAATAACCACCATACACACACCCCTATTAGTCAACTCTTCATTTTGTAAATTAGCTGTGGCTGCACATAGGTGGCATAGGGAGATTTCAAACTGTATTCGAAGTCCTTCACAGCATTAGCATTCTTCCGAAAAGCCGTTTTTAAAACAAGCATTAGTACCAAATAAACTCAGAGGTAAGATAAGGTATTCACCATGATTCTACCCAAGTTTTAGTTTGCAATTCTGTCCTCTAGAGGCTATATTTTCTTTATTCCACCTGTACTCTACAATGCCCACCCAAACAGCCTCCAGATGGCTTATGCGGTAAAACAATAAAACAAGACAAAAACTATTAGGACAGGGGAGCAGTAAGAAGCATCCCTACATACACTGATGGTGAAGAACCATCCTCACGCTCTAAACAAGACCTTAGCTGACATTTTGAAGGTCAGAATGGAACCGGGTTTCCTTCAATAAACTAGTCCACAGGTACAACTCCACAAGTGAGGGCTGAAACACATAATAAATGAAGACCTCAAACCAGCTGCTTCCTTACAATTACTGTTCTAGATGAGCATTTATTTATCAGATTCAATATTCACTGAACCTGACAGATCTATGAGCATCTGCGGCAGCTGAGTACATTTTTGGCGAAAAGATTCTCATATGCCATTTAAGAGGAGGCTGGCAGAATAGGAGGAGGAGCCGCCACCGCCACAAGTCAGTTGGCCCAAGGCAGCAGCTACAAGTGGGAGCTACCACAGCCCCCACTCCCCCAGGGCTGCAGCAGGTGGGCTGGCCACCAAAGGAAGGATGGTACCCCCCCCCCCTGCAAGTCTCACCGGTCCCCTGCTTATGCCTTCCTAATACCAGAGAGCTGTTACTGGATTTCCAACTAGCTCACTAGAATCGACCGGATAAAAGGAAAAATTATCTGCAGAAACAACCATGGCAGGCTGAGTAGATAACAGATCAGGACGTTTTCCTGGAGCATACCCTCTTGTAAAAGATGTGCATATTTGTCAATTCCAGAAGAAATTAATGGCAAATGCATACTTATGCCCAGTTTAAGGCATAGAAACACTTTAAATGTATGACCAAAAAATAAAACATACTTACCAACACTCTGAAAAAGTAGAGGTATTCGGCTGCTCCTGAATAGTTGCCACATTCATACTGGAATTTTGCATACCTATAAAGCGTATCTAGATACTCCTGCCTAAACTGAAAAATAAATCAGCGTGAGAAACATCCTTTTGTGATTGTGCAAGTGTCTTCTTTATGCATCAGACTAATAAAGGGGATGCTGTGTACCATAACTTTAAAATAAGTGTTAGTTTACTTTAGGAGGAGGCCATGGCTTAGCGGTAGAGCATCCATTCTGCATGCTCTCAGGCTCAATCCCCTCTATCTCCAGTGAAAATAATCAGGTTGCAGGTGATGCGCTGGACCTTGGAGAGTTGTTGCCAGTCAAAATACACAATGCTCATCTTGACATACCAATGGCCTAACTTGTTATAAGGCTGCTTTATATGCCAGAGCGAATCAAGGCTATCATTAAGCTACGCTCTAGTCCCTAGAAACGTGTCACCAGGTGAGCAGGACGTGATAGAGATTCATCACATCGAGCCTTTTAAAACATTTTCTGTTCGGTGCCAATTGAACTCTTGCCAATTTATTAGAACTCTCCCGCTTGCGTTGCAAAGTGCTCAACTGTCTGCAGGTTGCTTTTTAAACACTGATCAAAACTTAATTATGCCAACAGCACTGGTGGACAGATTTTGCTCTTCAAATGAGTGCTTCTCTCCTCTTTTTGCCTTGCCCCTTCCCTGGAGACAAGGCCCAGGGAAAAGTGAGACTGGACTGACTCTAGATGTTGGCTTCTGTTGAAGCTACTGTGGATTAATTTACAGGTCTGTGGGCTGGAGCTTAATATTCCTTGAAACCAATAATGCAATTGTGAAGGTGGGAGCCTATATTTTAAATTTCATAATGGCATCATTTGTTAGCAGGCGTGGACATTTAACTTACAGGGAAATATCCTAATGGGCCACTGCCCTAGAGGGCTGGTAGTGGCTATGACCAAGCAGAGTCAAGCCCCAGCAAGAGGACTGGCCATTTCACTTACAGGGAAATAGCCTAATGGCCCACTGCCCTAGAGGGCTGGTAGTGGCCATGACCAAGCAGAGTCAAGCCCCAGCAATCTCTGCCAGTGTCTCTCGGAATCACTTCCCAGTCTACTTCGGCTTCTAACCCCTTCATCCTGGGGCAGTCAGCAGCAAGCCTACCACTGCAAAAACGTTTCCTAATGGCCTGTGCTAAGACTACAGACACCTCCACAAGGAGTCCTATGTGCAGGTTATAAGTTACCAAAACACTTTAGTTGTTAAATTACAAGGCTTTTGTTTGGTCTTGAAATTAAAAATTAGTTTATCCTGGATAATAAAAAGAAAAGACCTATTCAGTGTCTAGTCCACATCTACAGAACCTTTGCCTAGAAGACTTAAAAGGTATTACAACTAGCTCACAAGAACAAGCTTAAAAGCAAATTTCATGTTTGCACATTCATTAGCTTAAGTATCACATCTATTGATGCTTACAGCAGGTTGAATCCAAAGATCCTCAAACAGAACTCCACTGAAACAAAGGGATCTCACCTCTTTGCCCTATTGCTGCTCAGTGTTCTCCCCAAAACACTGCTGAATTATCAGGAGACCTCTAGGAACAGTACAATATTGGGGGCTGCAGTGGGGGGAGGACTGGCATAACAGGTGTACACACATAGAGAGAGAGTCCCCTGAAGGCCTTTTCTTGCTGGCAGAAAATGAGCTTTGGATTCAATCCAGTACCTTGTAAAAAAATCCTGCTTTTAAAATACTTGATCAATCCTAAATCCAACTATAACGTGGCTGCTTGAAAACTGCTTTTGTATGTTGGATACAAAACCACTTCCAGTGGCTTCATGAATGAAGCCACACTTTTACCCAGGCTGAGCAAGAGGAATTCGTGCTCTGCCTTTACTCCAAAGGAATGTGAGACAAAACAACTCTGAAAAACTCCCATGCAATTTATGACACTGCCACATGTTCTCTGGTGTGCCACTGAAGCTACATCATGATTTTAAAACAGATTTAAGAAATGACCGCACACTTCTGCCTTTTGGGTTTCGGTTTTTAATTCTTTTTCAGTAAAGAACAGCTAGGTATTTTAACCAATATTTCATAATGCTGGATATTAAAAGAATTAACTGATACCTACACCATGCTTATCCGCTAAGTAGTCAAACAGCATCCGACCATCCCTGTAATACAGAAGAATTATAATTGTAGGGCTTTAAGTTGCTAGAAATTTCCAGAGACAGATCCAGAAGACACGCTAATTCATTCCAATTTTTGGTCATGGTAATCAACCTGTTTTCTGTGTCCATGAAAATCTTTGTGGAAATGAATTCCAGTGGTTACTTTCAGCTTGTAAGATACATCATTTAATATACAGTCAGTTCACATACGGCTCTGGCAGGCGTGCCCAACATGGAACAGTCAGCAAAAGACAATATACTAAATGGTGTGGCCTACTTGCATACCCATGCTGGAGGTGGCGGCAGTGGTGTGCTACTCACTTGCTCCCCCCCCCCCCTTATATGCAGCACTGAGGTCCAACGGTGCAAAAGTCTGCCACCAGTTTAGCAGGTCATTTGTAAGACTTGATGCAACTAGTTGCTTATCTTCTGCAAGCTAATCAGCAGCTGGTGCTCAGGAAGGACCACCTCAAATCACAGCACAGCAGTTTTTTAAAAAACAAATCAGTGTCCTTGCACGCTCTGCTCACATTACAGAGTATTTAAGAACTCTATAAAGCAATGAAAATATCAGCTTGGGAACGACATCTAGTGACCCCTTGGCAACACATCCTTTCAAGTACACTGACTCCCTGCATTCCTGGAGTGAATCCAAAAGTAGTATTCCACCAGTGTAGATCAGTTTTACAAACAAGTGGGGGGGGGTTCCCTCCCACAAATTACACCCTCCTGCTATTGCTCCGAAAGCGAGTGTAGTGTTGCCTAGGGGTTAGAGTATCAGCAGAATCTGGGAGATCCAGGTGAAATCCACAGTGTTTGACACTGGGCCAGATTCTCATTCAGCCTAACCAATCACACAGGGTTGTTATTAGGATAATAGGCAAAAGGAAGAAGCATGTATGTCCCTTGAGCTCTTTGAAAGAACAGCCGTGTAAAAGCATACCAGGCAGATCCAATCCCTCAAAATGCTGCTCCTGGAGAAAGGGTACTTTTAAGAACAGTCTGAGAGGTGAAGGGATTGAAAGTCAGGAGGAACTGACAAAACGGTCTCCTCCTTACCACTGGTGGAAAGCAACCTTTGAACTTAAGCACCATGAGGTGCTTGCCTTATTCCCAACGACCTGAACTTTTCAAGTTTCAAAAGGTTGATTTTGAAATACAAAAAAGGATCCCAAGATTCTGCGGATGTTCTACTAATGTGAGAAGATTCGTCAGCAGCTCTTATAACAGATGCTAAATTTAACAGTTATCTGACACGAGAGAAAGAATTATGCTATGTGAGCCAGTTGTATCTCTAAGAAATATAACAACTAAATTTCAGATGATGAAGACTTAGGAATGTAATAAGCTTCAGGTCTATTTTAGATTAATCTGAGTGAAATTTAGAGATCTGTAAATGTAAAACGGTGAGAGACTGCTCCCAACTGCTTAACTGTACATTTTTACGAAGCAAATGAAAATGATTTATTTATTTATTTATTAGACTTGTATCCCGCCCTTCTACATGGGCTCAGGGCGGCTAACAAGAGGCAAATGCCATACATAACAATAAAACCAAACAGAACAATCAAGTTACATTTTACATTTAAAATCGGTGCTCACAACAATATATCATCCAAGACAAGGACAATGTTTCAGAAGGTACTACTGTCTCTTCTTGATCAGTCTGCACTCTGTCCGTTCTCCATTCCCAAGGCCAGTTCACATCACCAAAAATGGCAACGCGATGGTGGTACAGTGACGGTGGCGGCTCCTACTCAAAAGCCTGGCGGAAGAGCTCCATCTTACAGGCCCTGCGGAACTGCATAAGGTCCCGCAGGGCCCTGATCTCCTCCGGGAGCTCGTTCCACCAGATAGGAGCCGCCACCGAAAAAGCCCTGACCCTAGTCGCAGCATATTTAACATCTCTAGGGGCTGGGACAACCAGAAGATGTTTTGCCCCAGACAGTAGTGCCCTTGGGGGAACATATGGGGAAAGGCGGTCCCTTAGTTAAGCTGGACCCTAGCCATATAGGGCTTTATAGGTAAGAACCAGCACTTTGAAGCTTTGATATACTTTGATCTACTTAAAAGAAAGCACCTTAGAGAAAAGCATACTAGCCTAACAAACTGTACCAAGGCTTTTCCTATAGAAACTGTTGAAAGAAATCCAAGCAGAAGGCAGAAATCACTTTCTGAAAGCTACCAAAAATTCTCATTCTTCAATGTACCAAGCTGCACACCATCTATATTTTAAAAGATTCTAATCCAGGTCTTAATTATCTTATATAATATAGCTTTCCAGGGATCTAAGCCTTGAATTCAAACGCCCATCTCTGATTGCCAAGTGTACAAAATAGGAAGGTAGAGACAGAAAGTGTCTCAGAAGACAAGAACAGGGTAGGGGAGGATTTCTGCTTGCAAATGGTTCACTGCTGTGTACAATATGCTATTCTGTCCTTTGAGCTATCTATTCCTTGCTGTTCTAGACTACAGATCAGAAACGGTCTTCTCCTTGGCCAACTCCAACCCCCTTTGGTGATGACACTGGACTCTCTATAATTGACAGCCCAGAAGTGAAATGGCATTGAGGCAGCAGTTTCTTCTAGCGAGCTATTTTGTGGATAGAGGGAAGGTGGCATGGTATAACTGATCTCATCAGATCTCAGAATCATAGCAGGGTCTTTACTTGGAAGGGAGATACCAAGGAAGACTCTGTGAAGACTCTGCAAACCACCTCTGCTTCTCACTTGCCTTGAAAGCTGAAAACCAGAAGCTGGTTATGATTTGATGGCACTTTACACACACACACATTTTGTGGTTAGTATGCATGCAAGATAGGCTTGGACTTCCAGCAAGCTAGGATGCGACTGTAACATGCTCCTGTACATGATCAGCTACCACAAACCATCCTCTCATAATATCAGATTAGAAATGTGGAGATTTCAAGACACAAATCTGATGGTCTCCACTTTTCACACATGGTGCATGGATACATCCTTCTCAAGTAAGATAACTTTAAAAAATTACACATTACATTTTCATCAAGTGACACAAATTGTACAGAAATTTACAGAAGGTTCAGTGTTCTTGGGGGGGGGGAGGGACCCTCATACAAGGCCTAGCAATTGAGTCATTTAACGTGGGTTGCCTCATCTGAAAACAAAAAATTCTCTAACTGAGATGAAGCAGCAAGATTGCACTTCAACCAGCCACAATTATTTATTTCTACAGCATAGGGAAGGCAGCATCCAAAAGCTTACCTGGTAGACTGCATCTGCCGGGTAGTTTCTGGGTCTTCAAACATCTTGACAATTGGTTCAGTTTCTGCCTGAAGTTGTTTCAGCTGTGCAACAACTGTGGTTCTCTTTTCACGCAAAGCTGAGCATAGAAGTAAAATGTTTAAGCTTTCTCTACAAAGTCAGCAATGATTTGCTAGGATGGAATAACACCAAGTATTCTGGATTTTCAACTCATTTATTTCGGTAAGGTGTAGGAAATTCTTAGCTGAATATAGCCAAAAATGCACTTAATAAGGTCAACAAGAATCTCAAGCAACTTTTTTTAAAAAAATCAAAAAGTGATTTAAAGACCAACAATAAGTGCCCTGGGGATTTGTGTGCGTGTGTGAGACAATTACACTTTTAAAATAGGTTAACCTGGAACTGGCAAAACACTATCAATCAGTTCAACAGAATTTCTTGTTTAACAAACTTTAGGAATACTAGGAGAAAGTCAGTCAAAACACAGGCCCATGAAACTCCAACCTTAAAACAGTAATCAATTCAGTTTGCACATGGGGTCTGCACATGAAAAGAAAATTCATTTTGAACATTGTCTTCTAGAAACTCAAATTTTCATACCAGAAACACTAAAGCTTAAGGTAACTTAATATGCACATTGGGGGGAAAGTGAGCAAATAGGTTAACAGAAAGATTTTAGATCAGAGAACCCACTAGTCTGATAAGTGATTAGGTCTGAACCCACTAGTGATAAGTGAGTAAACAAATTTCATTGGCAAGATTTTAGATCAGCGAACGCCTGATCAGACCCACTAGTGATAAACAGCTAGAAGCATAGAGAAAGGTTTTTCCAGGAATCCCTAATAGTATGCCACAGAGCAGCACTAAAACAAAATACGTGCATAAAGTCTTTTCACAACCCACTGTGTCTATATCCAAGAACCATGACTTGCCTGACAAAAAGTACTCTGGTACAGATGAGATATTCCTTGCTTGAAGGGAAAGTTGTAATTAAGAGGCAGAAAGGGGAAAAAGCCATTTGGTTAATATTAATTTTCTGTAATGTGTATGTAAAGGAGCCTCCATGAGTGACAGATAGGGGAAGGAACAGAAGAGAAATCCAGCACTTTCCCAACATTATGTTATGGGGGGGCCACTGCCCCTGGTGGTGCGAGAGGAAGTAAGGCCATGATTGCTCTTCCAAATGTAGGCCTGCTTCGTGTTCCTCCAATCCAAATACAATCTCCTCTCTCTGCGGAAATTTTACTGGCATGGTAGTAAACTGTTTCTCTGTCCCTGTATTCTCAGTGGCTGGACAAAGAAACAGACCACGCGCACACACATACTGCAAATGACAATTTTTTCACTGGAACTACTAAAAAGCATCAATGAGATAAAAGTATTTTAAATAAGCCAGCAGCATCTTCATAGCCTCATCCAGAGCTCTGTTTCTTGGTCAAAATAGAAGATAATCAAGCACTGGGAATTAATCTACATTTATTTTATTTAATTAGGGAATTTGCATGCCACCTCCCTGGAGACCTATTCAGATTAAATTTACTAAATTAATTCAAATTATAACTGCTGTGCTGGCAATTCTTCTCCATCCACAACAAATTACACAGAAACAGAACCAAAACTATGGAAATTAGTAAAAGTGAAATAAGAGGCTGGCCATAATGGATATATTTAGTTTTGAGCAAAGGCTTTCAGTGTACAGTCAATCGAAATCTGAGAAAACAGTAACGTTCAGTAGATAATATTTTGGGTTTAGAAGCTTTACTATTTTCAGTAGACCATGCCTCAGTTCTTTTTATAGTCCAATAAGCTTACCATGAGGAATATCATCAGAATAAAGGTTTTTGTAGACATCCATAGCAAAATCCACCATATTGGTATCACTAAGGAGATCCAGTTTTCCTTGAAGTAATTCCTTTTCATTGTATATCTGAAGCAGAAAACATAGTAAATGTGTATAATGGGTTTCTGATTTAAGAAACTGATGTTTTAAGGTAAATTATTACCCATGCCCATGATCTATGGTTAAGTTTGCTGAATGGTCATATAGCTTTGTAAAACTTTTTAAGACCACCAAGCACGGTGCTGTACCTTTTAAATACTAAGAGATTCAGATACCATATCAAGTCAACATTAAATCTAAATGTGCACGCGGGTGGCTTTTTGCTGCACTCTTATGCCATATTACTTCATCTCATGCAGACTGCAACAAAGGAAGCCTGGGTTCAGATGGGCACTGGTTGCATCTGATACTCAAGTTCCGAGTCACGGCCTAACTGGGTTCATTTTGCCCAGCAAACTGGGATGCTACACCTGAATTAAGCCCTCTGTGGCAGAAAAAAAACCCTAACGTGGGCCCCGTTCACACGAGTGGTTTTGGGCCGGGAGAGGGACGGATCAGGGGGCAGCAAACGGGCGCGATCCCACAGCAACATCTGGGAAGCGTACCGCGACCGTTCTCGATCCGCCCCTTCCATCCAAACTCCACAGCAAAAAAGAACCACCTACCTAGGTGGTTCTGTCCGAAAGGCCGCATCAATGCCGGCCGTGGGATCGCCGGCGCGTCCTTCCGCCGGCGCATCTCCGCCCCCCGGCCGAACTGCGCATGCTTGCACATGTGCAGTTCAGCAGCCTCCCCCTCCCGATCGTCTCTTCCTCCCCGGCATCTGATCGTGCCTGGGAGCAATGCGTCGCGGCTCAGGGGATCCGTGGAATCCCGCTGCGGCATCTCTATTTTGGTGCGGCTTTTAAAAGCCACACTTTGGCCGGGGTTTTTTCTGCCGTGTGGCAGGGGCCGTGGAGTAACTTGAGCACATGCATGCATACTGGGAATGAGCTTCAAGCCAGGACTGGCTGGAGGGAGTGAAGTGAGGGGCAAGTGTGTAAAAATGACAAAAATCCAGGCTCTTGCACACTGAGGCTTATTATCAGCTTGATGCGGCATCTAAATGCAGTAGACCTTGGCACTGCCCGAGATCTCTACCGCATATTCCATCTTGTTTCATCACACTGAAGTATATGGTCATTCACAGTAACAAATACCAGAAACAATTTCAATTTAAATAATCTAAGAAGCCAGATTCAACATGATGAGATCAAATCAAGCACAATAGAGGTTTTTTAATTGTTTTAATCTAAAATGCAATATATTTTTCATGGCCTATAAATGCTTTACGGAACCAACTTTTATTGGTAAAGAAGTAAATCTGAGATATTCAAAATATTTGCACATGTTCACCAATGTAAGTCAGCTAACTAAAGGGCACTCGCCTGAAGCACTTCTCTGCTTTCAAGTCTGCATCTATCTTTGCAGGAAGTCAAAATATAGACAGGTAAAAAGATTAAAAGATAAAACAGAAGATAAAAAACTGGAAACCACTAACATTTGTTTGGAAAACCACTGCCAGATCCTCTGTAAGCACTCTTTGGCAGGCTCAGAATGACTTCAATTCTAGAAAGGCAGCTGTATTTGAACGGTAGCCAAGACAACAAAAAGTCTGACACTGGTGTGGCACCAGTTTTTGTGAGTTACAGCCCACTTGGTCAGATGAGTGCTGTGTTATATATACTTTTAATTTACCTACTATTATTTTAAGAGCTGCTTTTCATCAGTGATGTGCATTTTCTCAGGAAAATCGCCTTGAAAAATTTCTGATTCAAATTTAAATAATGTTTAAAATACTGTTAGCAAAATTTAAGTAACGCTAGCAGGAAAAGGTAAGTATAAGGTGTCTGTCCATGCTTCATATACCAAATGTATCCCATCTAACATGACTGATTTGCAGCATAACAGCCATCACAGATAAACAGACTATACACACACACACACACATATGCAGGACAGAAAATTTTCTACCAAAACACACAACACCAGAAAATGTTCTTTTTTGAAAAACTTTCTACCCACTAAATTTTTAAACAGAATACATAATATTTATCTAATGCTTTTGTGTGTTCAAAGCTCTTTCAAGCATTGTCATAATTTTTACAACTCTGTCAAGTTATTATTATACATTATTATTATTATTACTACTACTATATTTTGGGGTTAAAATGAAAGAAAGGGGCTCATTTAAGGCTATCTAGAGTAGCAGAGGAATTACCTTACCTACAAAGTTTTACAACCTTGTAAACCTATTGATTTTCTAAGCATGTGTCTAGTTTAAGATTCTGCTGTTAGCATCTGCTCTACCCAGCTCTCCAATCCAAATAGCTGTTTCGAAATCAGATAGCCTAATTAAAGACCGTCCTAATTTGAGGGACAAAATGCTATGCAAAAACCAACTACTGAAGCAAAACTAAGGGTGATTGACTAAGACCACACTTTATTAGTTGCCAAGCACTCTCCAAATTATGCTCAATTCCAAAGCTATAGTTCGAAAGCGAAGGAAATCTGGAAGGAACTACTTCAACAGCTAAAAAACAGCTTTTGCAGACGAGACTGCTATGTACAATAAAAAGAATATGTAAATTCAACAAGTATAGAAGGTCTAGCGTATGTCCACTAGCTTGGAGTCAGTTATGGGCAGAACGAGGGTGAACAAGCTGAAACTTAATCCTGACAAAACAGAGGTTCTCTGGGTTAGCAGAAAGGCTTCAGATATCCCCTGTCTTGGATGGATTGAAAAGCCCAGGTTCACAGCTTGGGTGGGCAGAGAAAACCAGGTGGCCGCAGTAGTCTGGAGTGCTTTCACCCAGCTTCAGCTGGTATGTCAGCTGCCTCTGTTCCTGGGTCAGCCAGATCTAGCCACAGCGATCCATGCCTTTGTTACATTTAGACTGGACTACTGCAATGCACTCTACGTGGAGCTACCCTTGAAGAGTATGTAGAAGCTGCAGCCAATGCAGAACACAATGGCTAGGCCGCTGGTTGTGGCCAGCTATTGAGACCACGTGACCCCAATATTACAGCAATTACACTGGCTACCAATCTGAGTGCAAGCCCATTCAAGGTATTAGTTTTGACCTTTAAAGCCCTACATGGCTTGGGACCAGGGCATCTGAAGAACCATTTCTCATATATTTCTGCCCTGGAATTAAGATCACATGGAGAGGCCCTCCTAATTGCTCCATCAACCAAAGATGCTCCTTTGGTGGGTACATGAGGGCTTTTTCAGTGGCAGCCCCACAATTATAGAAAAAACCCAGAGAGGTGCGCTTGGCCCACTTACTTTCAATCTTTAGGAGGCAGCTGAAAAGTGGGGTTTTTTTTTAATTTAAGACTGTGTAGTCCTAAATTTTTGATTTTGAACTTTGGTTTTATGTTTTATAAATACTGCAAACTGCCTTGAACTCTACAAGGGAAAAAAGCAACCAATAAATATTTCAAGTAAATAAATGTATGTGCCTCTCCAAAAATACACAATTATTCTGTTTCTAATTCAATCGATTCACAAGGCAACTTATTCCTTGCTACATTTGATCTCCTAAGGCCTACACACATGTAAATATGTTTCAATGAACATTCCAACAATTTTAATGGGATTGATCATACAGCACAATGATAAAACTAGTAGCATATTAAAAACTTAAAAGGTTTGTACTTAAAAGATTTATACATAAAAGTTACAAACAAGATTTCAGTACAAGTTCATCTTGTGCATGTGGAGTTCGTGCATTTGATGAAGTCAACAGGAAACAGTTTATGGTAGAGTTTAAGTTGTCTTAGTTTTTAAGTGTCACAAGACACTTTTTTTTAGTATTTTTGCAACAGACCGACATAGCTATTCCACTGGAATCACAATAATAGTTTATAAGGTATTTACACTAATCCAAAGCAATACTTTAGACACTAAAGCCAAAGGGTATCTTTCATTAGAACCAAACAAAAGAACACACAAGCATTTGAGTTTCCCAGAGCAGGATACAAACAACACACACTCATTCCTGTATAGCTGTCCACATCAGTTACAAGCATTTGTGTTTGTATTCTATTTGCATTAAGCCAAACCGTGATAAAATAGCCATTATTCATAATAGCACTCTGCACACGTGCAGAGACACTTCCGTTGCAAACCCCTACTTTAAAACTTTAGTACTGAGCAAGTCTTCCCAACGGCTGTCTTTGAAGCAAAAAGAAAAAGAAACAAGCTCTCCACATTCCTCTTCTCATCTTTTTTTTTAAACGAACTAGAATGTCAATCCATCTCGCTTCCCAGCCATTGGCGCAGAATGAAGGAGATGCGCACGCGCACTGCCTTTACCGTCGCTACTCCGCGAACGAGGCCAGAGAAGGGCCCCGAGAACCGGTAGGGAGAAGAAAGCCCTGAGGCTCAGCCCCTTCCCAGGCTGTCATAAAAGGCGGGAACCACCCTCACCTCTTTGACGGAAAGGAACTCGAGAAGCGGGAAGACCAAATGCCGGTCTAAGAAGTGAGCGATGCTAGTCGTCAAGTCGTACTCCGCCATCTTGAACGCGCGGATGAAAGGAAAAGGCAGAGCTAAAACCCTCTTCTGCCGCTTCTTCGAGGCGCATGCGCGGCCGCGCACCACTCAAAGCGGCCAGAGTCGGCACGTTAGAGGGAGGAGAAAATTGCCTATACATGCGCACTGGATTTCTTACGTTGCGCTGTTCCAAACAAGCACCTCCCACCCCCTACTCGCTTTGAATCCATTAGCCCCGCCTCCACCGCGGCTGGACCGGCCAAAAACCAAGGTGAGGCTCTGATGGCGAGTTGGACGACTGAGAAGAGCAGCGCATGCGCCGTTCATGTAGCGTGCCGCAGTAGAACCATGGGTTCAGACGCATGCGCCCAGGGTGAAATGGAACCGTCTTGTATGGAAACGGGTCTTTCTGTTGATTTCGGTGGGGCAGATTTTCTTTTAAGGGAAACTTAAGATGCAATTATTTAAAAAGGTTTTTTTATTTTTATTTTTTTGTCAGGTAGTGAAAGCGAATATTCTTCACCTGGTGCGGAAGGCTTGAAACACTTTGCACCATTCCGCAACCGAGATGCCACAAGAATCTCTTATCACTGCCCATGTCAGCTGAGGGAGTAGAGGTGGACAGAGAGCAGGGTATCCAAAGAAGATCTTGACTGTCTACTTTTTTTGCTATGGAGTTGCAGCCAGTAGGTGACCCTGTAGGGTTTTGAAGGCAAGAGATGGAGAAAGGTGGTTTGCCACTGCAACCCTGGACTTCCTTGGTAGTCCCCCAAGTACTAACCAGGGCTGACCCTGCTTAACTTCCGACATCTGTTGAGAGCAGGCTAGCCTGGGCCATCCAGGTCAGGGCATGTTCATATTTTTAGAAGCAATTCCACAAGAATGCAGTTCCAGATCAGTGTGTAGTTACTGGATTGTAACTTTTATGGCAAAACCCCCCCCCCCATTCCCTAGTGAAGCAGGTTCACCCAGAGCAATAAAGGTCGCTTGGCTGTAGAAGGAACATTTGCCAGAGCTGTGTGTTGCTTATTAGATGTGATTTATTTGGCTGAGTGTCTCTGCCCTGGGAAGGGCTTTGGATTCACTCCAGGGACATGCATAGTAAAAATGACACGGTGCTTGATGTGCCACTTTCACTGTTTTTCTGGGTTTTATAAAATTCATAATAACTATAGCAGCCATGAGACAGGGCAGGAGTGGTGCATACTTCTGCTCTCTGTGCGGTAGGGGACTTGGGGGGGGAGCCTTTGGCCCACCATGGCCTCACCTTTGGCCTGCCCTATCCCTGTTCCCCCAAATGAGGAAGGAAGTAAGAACCTCCTTGCCTGCCTAGCCGGGCCAACTCCACTATGGTTTAGTTGACCTCGGCGCTGCCTTCCATGTGCTGTGTGTGGATTGGCTAAGGTGGACACCACCCTTCTCAGCACTGGGAGGCAGGCTGTTGGCCCACCTGGAACAGTCCCAGTGGCCATAATAGCCATCTATAATAACCACATGACCAGAAGTGCCCTTGCATGGTATGTGCAGAACCTGGCCTGATCTCCAAAAGCTCCTGGGGTTGCCAGCCATCAGCTATTTGTCTTATCGATGCTTCCAACACCAGCTACACCAGGATCATACATCATGTCTTGAAACAGCTTCCTTTTCCTTTGTTTGTTTGTAACATCTTGCCTGAAAAAGAGTTGTTTAAGACAGCTTCTCTTTATGTCACCCTGTCTTAGAACTCTTCATATGGCAACAGCTAGGGCTTTTTCTGTTGTGGGTCCAGTCCTTTGGAATGGCTGGCCAGAGTGGTTGCAGAGAGCACATTCACTGGTTACATTTAGGAAGCCATGTACAACAGCTTTATTCCAGAGAGCAGTTGTTGTTGTTGTTGTTGTTGTTCAGTCGCACAGTCGAGTCCGACTCTTCGCGACCCCATGTACCAGATCACGCCAGGCCTTCCTGTCATCCGCCGTCCTCTGAAGTTTGCTCAATTTCATGTTTGTTGCATCTATGACACTGTCTAACCATCTCATCCTTTGCCGTCCCCGTCTTCTTTGACCTTCAATCTTTCTCAGCATCAGGGTCTTCTCCAGTGAGTGCTCCCTTCTCATTTGGTGGCCAAAGTATTTGAGCTTCATTTTCATTATCTGGCCTTCCAGGGAACAGTCAGGGTTGATTTCTTTTAGGATTGACTGATTTGATCTTCTTGCATTTGGTGAAGGTTAAATTGTTTTGGTGGATTTGGATTCATTTTAAATTCTCTGTGTTTTTGATTGTGTGTGGGTTTTTAAAAATTCTTTGTGCTTTTAAATTGGCAATCTGAATATTTTTAATCTGTGAATTTCTAAAATCTTGTGAATTGGACTGATGTGTTCTCTATCGTTACATCCTGGTATCTCATTGAAAGCAACCTTGAGTCTGAAGAGGTAAGGAAGGATATAGAAGTGTTTTAACAGTTAGATTCAGGTCCATGAACACCTTAGAGACCAACAAGAGTTTCAGGGTAATGTTGGTCTCCAAGGTGCTATGGGACTCAAATCTACTGCAAATCAACATGGTTACCCTCTGAAACTAGATGCTTTTAAAAAAATGGATGAATATCTGACTAAAATGTTGGTCAGTCTACCTCATCTGGACTCCTTTCTGAAACGTGGTCACTATGTAATCCCACTGGGTTTGTGTGATGCAGGTGTGTGTATGTTTCTTTAAGAGAACCATTGTTATGGGAAGAGGTGTATGTAAGTCGTATGTATGAAGTGGGAGGAGTGAATGCAGCTGAAGAATGTGTTAACTGCAATTTGACTGAGATCTCAATAAACAGATTTTGGATTTGTCTTGAGGGCATTTTTGAATAGACATAACAAATTGGCAAAGTTTATTCCTAATTATGCTTCAGTTATTGAACCACTTAAGTGGAAGTGTAAATTTGGCATGATCACCTGTGGCTCAGGCCAGTTTTGATACTGTAAAAGGTTTGATTGTTCATAGTCCAGCTTTGCCTATAATTGTGACAGCTGGTGCTTCTGAATGGGGAGTGGGAGCTGTGTTGACTCAGCTCCATAAGGATAAGGTGGAAAGGATGGTCACATTTGTGTCAAGAGCACTTAACTCAGGCTTAGAGGAAGTATTCTGTTGAAAAGGAATCACTTGCATGTGTTTGGCCCACAGAAAAGTGGGTGATTTCTTTGTGGGGCCATGCATTTTGATTACATGCTGATTATAGTCCCCTGAAAACGTTGTTGACATCAAATGGATTTGGAGGGGCAGGGAATCGAATTGCTAGTTGGTAAGCATGGTTGCTTTCTTTTACTTATGAGATGGAATATAAACCAGGCACAGAAAATGATTGCTTGTCTCAGCTACCCTTGCCGTCTTCAAGACATTTTGTCAGAAGAGGATGTAGAAGCTGTTGCATTTCTCTCAGGTATCCCAGTTGCAGTTACACAGGAGAAATTCCAAGATGCATGTTTAGCAGGCCCAATCTAACCAGAAATTAAGGGGTCTTTGATGAATATATGGCCTAATAACATAAAGGGAATTGTTTCAGAGTTGTTACCAGTTCCAGTTCCACATTCTGCATGGGCAAAGGTTGCAATTGATATTATGGAACATTTTGGTACTGCCCCCATTGAGTGCCGTTATGCTGTTACCTTAATAGATTGTTTTATTAAGTGGCCAGAGATAGCATTTATGTCACAAAGTACTTCTGCTGCT